CTTCAGTTCTTTGTGAAAACAGTGTTTAATATTTACAATTCCATATGCTCTGCAGTTTTGAATAGGAGAATATGGAAATCCCACTCGGCTTTCAGAACAGAAAAATCTCTTTGTGTTTCGCCTAATTCAGCTCAAAAAGGAAGGGTCTGAAGGACTTGTTGGGTGAATCAAGAGGAGCTGTACAGGTGGAGCTGAAGCTCAACTTCTAGACAGAACATCAGTGGACAATTCACAGCTCAAACTTCATTTCTTTTAATATGGTGGCTTCCTACCTTGGGCTAATCTCCAAGAGAGTTCTCCTATCTAGTATCCAGGGAGAAATAGGTTCTTTGCAGGTAAAGCAAAAACCTCATACCTTGAGAAGAAACTGGAATTCGAAAGAAGCAGCACAAAACTCAGCTCTGAGAAAGTAAAAGTGCTGTACTCACGTCAGATGGTTTGATGTTGATGAACTCTTTGTCAAGTCAGGAGACCTTTCTGTATCTCTTGAGGTTTGTGGTCCTAACCAACTTCTTCATGTCAGCTTCATGGCCATCTATGTGTAGATTCTTTGGTTTTACCTGCCGATTGAACCAGATTATGGGGAGGTCTCCTAGTTTCCCCATAGATGGCAAAAGCAAAACAAAACTATTTCGGGCAGTATTTTCTCCAGCAGCCTCTCAGCAGTATGAGGACAAGACATCATCCTTTGGAATCTTAGATGTCAACTAAGATTCTAACAAATTTAAGACATTATCTCCCCAAAATGCAACAATGGTCATATAAGGATGATGAGATTATGGGCAGGGCTGCCATGTAAGATTGCACAGTGTGTGTACTGCACAAAGGTGCCCAGCCAGGGGTTAAGGACTGACTGATATCCACTTTTCTGTGCTATTTAATCATGAAGCCATATATTCAAGGTGCTCTGCCTGCTCAGAGAGGGCATCTTTTTCCATTTGCACAAAGGGTCCCTATGGGCTGGAGATCTTGACTTATGGGTGATTACTTAGATTTGGCGGGGGCAGGGGAAGAGGTGGAAGCAAGTAGAGTCACAACTCTTCCTTTCTGCTTTATTCCAGTTCAGCCACCTCTGAGGCGACAGACCTTTCCAGCAGCCCTTCTTGTGTCTCCTTCTTCCCTCTCACACATTTTTCCTGCCCCAACTTTTTATACCCTCCTCATTCTCCTCTCTCTTTCCTTCCTTCCATCTCTCCTTGCCTCTCATCTTTTCCTGCCCTTTCCTCTCATTCCCAGGAGACGGACTGATGCGCAGGAGCCATCCTGTTCTGTTGACCTCCTCATTGAGCCCTAGTCATCAGTCACATCCCTAGAATCACTCAGGAGTCTCTGCTTCTGGTCAATTCTTAACACAACCCAGAAGCAATAGAAGTCTTGCTTATTTGTTTCATCCTTCTATTGCCCTGCCTGACACCCGTTTCTCCCTGGTAACCAGAATCCAGGAGCCCCAGTGCAGACAAACCTGGTGGTCTGTTTAACTTATCTTGTAGTATTCATGGCCAGCTGCAACGCCTCAGTCAGATGTGTTGTCATTTAAAAGGAAGGTGCCTGGGATACTGTGTTTTAGCCATAAGGAAGGAATCTCAAATGGGAGAATTTGGGGCAGCTCTCTGACTGAGGTGAATGATGGAGAATTTTTTGAAAGAAGCACCCCTCAAACGTGCTTATTCTCCCTCTAGTACTTCTTTTAGAGATTTTTCACCTAAACGATAGACTTGAAACACAATTTCCAGCCTCCATGCCTGCCTTTCTTCCTCCTTGCTGCTTATATATCTGAGATTATAATCTTTTCTCTAGACGGCTCATGTCAGTACTTTCTAATTGACTGTCCCAGAAGACAATAACACCCATTTTCTCAGGCAGGCTGGTCCAGAATCTATCCTTGGCGGTCCAGCATCTTCTCTTCCTCACACCCTCACACCCTCCTGAGCAATCCTAGCCACCTCTGTGGTTTTGGTACCACCAACCACTGATGACCCTCAAGCATCTACCTCCAGGCGGAAGTCCTTTCCTAAGCTCCGGGTCACTGTCCACGCTGCCTCCCAGACATGCTCACCTGGTACTCCTTAGACACTTCAACTCAGCAGGTCCCAAACTGAATTTGTCATCTCCCCCCTCTGCTGCTTCGCAAACCTTTTCCATTTCCCACTTGTTGGCACAGTGACCCACCAGCTACCCAAAACACCGTGAGTCATACCCACAATCACCACTTCATTTCTTCCTAATTCCTCCCAAATCTGTCCCCTCCTCTTTCCCTCACCCTCCCTGCCAGTAGGCCATCACCATCTCTTGCCAAGACAATTGTGAAGGCCCCAACTCGTGACTCTGTGTCCAGTCTCTCATCTTCTCAAATTACCATTTACTTGCTGCCAGAATGGTTTTTCTAAAGTGAGAAGCTGAGTGTATCATTCCTTTCATAGAACTTCTCAAACTTCTTCACTTAAGTACTCCAAATGCAAGAAGAGTGAATGAGCTCCCAGAAAGTTTGGGAGGGGCCAGAAGAAGAGGATCCAGAAGGTCCCACTCACAACACGAGGTTTCTTTTTAAGTCACCATTTTTAATCCCATTTTTGCAATTTTGCATTCTATTCTATATCAGTTTTTGCTTTGAAACTAAAATAACATTTCTCCAAATCTTCAAACAAAGTTGATCCTACAGAAAGGTGCATGTTTATCCCGTGACTTAGGAACCCTCAGGTCCCCTAGTTTGAGAAGCTACAGTCCTAGCTGGAATGCACAATTCTTTGTGTGTTATACAAGGACCTTCTTTTTTTTTTTTTTTTGTGAGGAAGATCAGCCCTGATCTAAAATCCGTGCTAATCCTCCTCTTTTTGCTGAGGAAGACCGGCTCTGAGCTAACATCTATTGCCAATCCTCCTCCTTTTTTTCCCCAAAGCCCCAGTAGATAGTTGTATGTTATAGTTGCACATCCTTCTGGTTGCTGTATGTGGGACGTGGCCTCAGCATGGCCGGAGAAGCGGTGCGTCGGTGCACGCCCGGGATCCCAACCCGGGCCGCCAGTAGCAGATCTCGAGCACTTAATTGCTAAGCCACGGGGCGGCCCTACAAGGACCTTCTTCACAGGTATCTATTTGTCTCTGCAGCTTCAGCCGTCCAACCAGCTCCCTGCAGTCCAGGAACACTGAACCTCTTGCAATTCTGTGAACTTCATACCGGGTGCCATCTCAGGACATTTACCTATGCTGTTTCCTCAAACTAGACTAAACCCCTCCCACCTCTATCTACTTATCTCCTAGACCCAACTCAAGTATCACCTGCCCTGTGATGCTCTCCATGACGAACCCCACCAGACCGAGTTAACCATCCCTCCTTTTAAGCCACTCAAGTCCACACCCCTTCTAGCATACAATCACTAGATTGTAATTCTTTGTTTATGTCTCTCTTCCCCACCAGACTGTGGATTGCTTCAGGGCAGGGTCTGTGTCTTACTCACCTAGGCCTTCCCAGACCCAGCACCATGCCTGGCACCTGGTCAGATGGGAGGTCAACATGGCCAAGACATTTCACCCTAGTGCTCACCACGGTTGATTTGACTGATCTGAAGGACCATGAGGATGTCCCCTTCCTCTTTCATTACTCCTTCCATTCTCTCTGTCAAACAGACTGCTCCCAGATGGACAGGACACTCCAGCAAAGGTGTGTCAGTAGCTTTCCTTTCCTGTTGAATCCTCCAAACAAGCCCTCAAGACCTGACACACAGTAGATTCTCAATGAATATCTGTTCAATATTTGAATGAACTGATGATCACCACCGTTGTCCTCTTGAATTAAGCTGTATTATATTTTCTCAATCTTATCTTCTAGAGAATCCTGATATCTCTGAATCCCCACGATCTAACAATGTGCCAGCACTTACTATACATTAAATAAATGTATAATAAATTAACAAATGAACAAGTGAAGTAATGTGTTCGTGTATATTCAGTGTTTCTTGAAAACACTTTAATTTTTCATCCTGACACCTGGTGTGTTTACCAACTGTTAGGAATTAGCATTTCACTCAGAAATGGAATCTCAACAAATTGGTGATGACTGAATTTGTTTTTGAAAATCTTATCCCTGACCAGTGAGGTGTTTTGTCATTTTAGGCTCCTGTAGGAGTAGAACTTTTGGGTGGGTTTGATCTCTACCATAACTAACATAATTTAATGGGTAAAAACCATGGTCCTCAAAGTTAGGACTATCTCTTAATCATTTGAAGTATAAATGCTCAATAAATGTGACTTTGAAGCATATCACTGCTCTTAAGCATTTGGATAGAACTCAGCGAAAGTGCTTGACCGTCCACCTAACCCACAGTGTGCGCTCAATGAGTACTTTGCTTGTCAATTATTCATTCCTGTCCAGACCTGAATGTGGAATTTAAGAGCTGATGCCTCTGGAATTTTGGAGCAATGCCCAATTTTAGTTGAGGACAATAATATTCTTGCCTTAGCCACCATTCAGTTACAACCTGGCTGCCAGAGACTAATAAGATGCACTTTTTTTTTTTTTGGCTAGGCATAAGCCAAGTGGATAGAAACTTCAGACTGTGAAGGATTTTGTGTTTCCCAAACCCTAGAGCAGTGTTCTCCAATTTTTTTGTGGTTGGAAACTTCTACCAGTAAAAAGTTTCTGACCAAATATCCACAATATACGCATAATTATTTATTTATAAATTTTATACATGTATTATCATACTAATGTATCTGTACTTTTATAAAACTCATCAAAATGGGCATTTAAAGAAGTGATATAAAAATGAATCAAAATAGAGGTTATATTTTCTTCCCTCATCCCAATGGATTGCCTTGTAAGTAGCCGCTTGGCTGGAGCAGTCACACTGGCTCTGGAAGGCTCGGTGGAAACAAGGTTCTTCAGTCTCAGGTCCCTGAGTGCATGGGCCCCGGCTCACTCATGGGCTCACTCCCTTCAATTAACCATATTCAAAAGCCACTGCCTTTAAACTTTTAAGAAGAAAATAGAATTCAATGATAGAATGATGATTTAAAAGACTTTATTTCCAGTGGAACCAGCTTTTTATGATCATGCTAAATGCTGTATTTCATTCCAAATGAAAAGAGCTAGACTGCTGATGATACTGTCGGATGAAGAGAAAGACAATAAAGCTGCAGTGTATCCTTGAAGCACGCCAAAGGGGAATGGTGAGGAAAGGGAGGCTTTTGTCTCACAAGGCCATATACACTGAACAAATTAATTTTCCAATCCAGGAAATCAGCAGTCATCAACACGGCACTTTGCAAAATATTTAAGATTTGTGATAATAGCAGGTACTGCAGTGGCACTCTGTGTGGTTCTCCACCTTGGCATTTCCCATCACTGTGGCCTAAAGGGGAAGGAAAAAAAGGAAGATAGATGGATTAGATAGATAGACAGATGATAGATAGATAGATAGTTAATAGATATAGATAATAGGTAAATAGATAAGAGATAGATAATAGGTGGAAAGATAATAGATAATGGATAGATAGATAGACAGATAGATAATAGACAGACATATAGATAATAGATAATAGGTAGATGGGTAGGTAGGTAGATAGATAGATGGATAGATAGATAGATAGACATATAGATAATAGATGGGTAGATGGGTAGATGATAGGTAGATAGAGCAGTAGATGATGGATAGATGGATAGATGGATGGATGGATAGATAGATAGACAGACAGATAGATAGATAGACAGACAGACAGACAGACAGACAGACAGACAGACAGATAGATAGATAGATAGATAGATAGATAGATAGATAGATAGATAGATAGAGATAGATAGATGACAGATAGATAAGCAAAATTGAAAACTGTTAAATAAAATTGTCCATAGCCACCTGAATTAAGTAGATGCTTGCTATATTTGCATATTCTCCCTTTCAGCTGATATTTTCACTCCAAAAGGTTAGCTTTGTGTTGTGTAAGTATGGTGCACTCTCTCTCAACCTGCCCCTCATCACCTCCCCGCCTCTTCTCCTCATTCTGAATAAATCCAGCCTGTACCCACGAGGTTGCTGACTCTTTTGATTAAAGGGGACAAATGCAGCCCCTCCCTGCACAAATGTCCACAAAGGATGGGTCATTAGACACCTCTGACATTAAACCCCATGCACGTGCTCTGAGGACATTTCTCTGGTTCAAATGTTAGAAAGCTTCTGGGGCCCTTTAAGTTCTTACCTTAGTAAATGCTTTGGCCACACAGCATGTGGCTTCTGAGGTGATGTTCTTCGGGACCAACATTGTCTTCTTGGACCTTGCTGGAGTGGGATATGCTCTGGAGAAGCAGCAGCCCATGCACTGGTAAATTGGGGCACCCAGCTTGGAGAAGTATTTGTTTTCCTTTAGCTTGCATTCTGGGCAACCTATCACAAAAGAGGCAAAGAGTAAAATAATCCAAAAATGATTCAAAAAGAAACTATGAATTTTTCCTTTTTATGGGATGGTAAATATTCTTTTTTTATTGGGAATAAAATAAATAAATGCTTTTTGGCTATATGTTAATCTTCATACACAATATCTATATGTACTGATTACAGTTATTTTCATCGGAAAACTATTTTTGCTGACATGCATGGGAAATTTCCATAGTAGTAGTTTCTCTCTCTTCAAGCACGGATTCTCCTACCCCAGTGCTAATAGCGTGCCTATGTGGAACACAAAACTTGACAGATGAAAACTCCATGCTCACCTGAAAGGAGAATTTTGCCCGGAGGCAAAATAGTTTCCCCTTTAGAATCTGCTATTGTGTTTTCCCCATAGAAACTCCAAATATTGACAGAGAAAAATATGTCAGACTTGAGAAAGCTTGGTGATTGTAGAGAGCCTGATATTAGATTGGGCATCTGCATTTGGGAACTGGGAGTGAAACATTACCCACTTGTCTAGAGAAAAACCACAGCCAGTAGTAGCTCACAATTTCATAGCAGATGGAATTATATCAGCCACTATATGAGATTTCTCAGACAGTACAGCAAAACGAATTTACCGCATAAAGTGGTTTTGTTTTTCTCCCTTGTGTACTCATGTGAAAATTCATCTACAAAGGCAACGTTAAAATCCTCTCAAATCTTCTGGGAGAAATGTAAAAAAAATTGAGCAAAACTGAATAAGGAGCATTTTCTTCTCGTAAAACTCAGATAAAGAATAATCAGGAATCTATTTCAGATGAAAATGTACCAGCTGCTATTTAAACGGACATGTAAGATATCATTTTCACTGTACATTTTTGGAACCTAATTTAATCTTATGTTCACAATCTGCAAGTGCCTAGATATGTACCCAGCAGCAAAGATTTATTACATTTGAAAAGGAGGTGGAAGTGTAATTAATGGAATTATTGATGTACATCTAGAAATGTGTGTTTTTCTTATTACTGCAAATCCAAGTTTGGTCACACACCCTGCATTGTAAACTCTGCATCAGGAAAGGAATGGAGAATATGCAGAAACACAGACAATGTGGCCAGAATGACAGCTGCATATTTTCTGTAGTAATCCATGGCTCTTCTGCAAAATAGACAAGGGAAAAAAAGTTACTCTAAAATTGGCTTGCCAGTCATAACAAAAACAAGTAGTTTTAACATTACTACTAATAACACATCATCAGTCTCTTGACCCCTCTGCTTACAGCTCCCAACACACTCTAAAGCCATATATAAAAGCACAATTTCTCTTCAGGAAAGAGATGAGGAATTGAATCTCCCTATTTCTCACAGCAACCAGTAGAATCGGGCTTAATGATAACAACAATAAATTCTTTTTTAAACATAACATCCTGTTAAAAAGCCTCGATGTCTTTATTAGTAAAACATAAAACTTCAACTTGATAATATCTAAAAATATATATAAGGATGGATGGATAGATAGATAAGCTTTTATATGACATATAAAATATACAAACATTTGAGCCCATCCTTCCCATTCCCACATTACCAGGTGGGAGAACAGAAGGAAAGGACAGTGTCTCTCCTGCTTATTATTCACTGGTGGTAGGTGAGCTCTAAAGTTAATTATCAATGTGCAACAGTAAGTGCTAACCCAGCAATGTGGCAGGATTAGACAGCATAGAATGTTAATGAAATTTCTCCAAAATGCACTTCTTGACTTATTTGTACCTGTAGATACAGCTTTATGCATTTTGAGTGCATGAGATCAGGCTATCCAAGGTCAGCTGAGTGATTGACCATAGCCAGGCATGGACCTAACTGCATCTGAGAATGGGGAGACAGGAGATTGGATTGCATCTCCTCATGACCTAGAAAAATCTCTTGTAAGATAAAAGGGGCAGGTTTTTATCCTCATTTTTAAAGTGAAAGTGTTATAGATTCCTTGTGCTCAACCCATGAGAGATAAGAGAGACAGAGCATCAATTACCAATTAAAAAAACAATTCAGAACATTTAAAGAAGAATTAACACTAATTTTACGAGTCTCTTTTAGAAAATAGAAGAGGAGGAAACTATTCCCAATTCATTTTATGAGGCCAGGATTACCCTGACACCAAAACCAGATAGATAGGTACAAAAGAAGAAAACTAGAAACCAGTATATCTCATGAAATTAAATGCAAAAATCCTAAACAAAATAATAGCAAACTGAACCCAACAATGTATAAGAAGAATTATACAAAACAACCAACTAGGAATAATTCACAGTATGCAAGGCTGGTTCAATATTTCAAAATCATTTAATGTGTCCATCACATCAATAAGATAAAGAAGAAAAAAATCATATGATTATATCAACTGACACAGAAAAGCATTTGACAATATCTAATACTCTTTCATTATAAAAACTCTTAGCAAACAAGAGTCAAAAGAGTTTTTTCAATTTGATAAAGAAATTTACAACCTGCAGCTAACTTCATGCTTAACAATGAAAAACTGAATGCTTTCCCCTTAACATCAAGAACATGGCAAGAATATCCACTCTTATTCAATATAGTACTGGAAGTTTTAGCCAGCACAATATGGCAAGAAAAATAAATTAAAGGCACACAAATGGAAAAGGAAGAAATAGAACTATCCCTATTTGTAGATGACATGATTATCCATGTTAAAAAAAAAAAAAAAACACACAAGGAACCTACAAAAAAGGTCCTGGAACTAATTATTGAGTTCAACAAAATTGCATGACACAAGATCAACACACAAATAACAATTGCATTTCTATATACTAAAAAAAAATAATGTAATAAATTAAAAACACAATACCATTTACAGTCACTCCAAAGAAAATAAAATACTTAAGTATAAATCTAACAAAATATGTACAAAATTGTATGCTGAAAATTACAAAATACTGATGGAGTAAATCAAAGAAGACCTAAATAAATGGAGAGACATATCATGTTCATGATTTGGAAGACTCAACATAGTAAAGATGTCAGTTCTTTCCAAATTGATCTCTATGTTTAATGAAATGCCTATCAAAATCCCAGCACAGCTTTTGTAGACATAGACAAGATTATTATTACTGAAAGGCAAAGGACCTAGAATAGCTAAAATAAATTTATAAATGAAGTGGGAGGAATCACTCTTCCCAGTGTGAAGGCTTATTATATAGCTACAGCAATCAAAACATCATGATGCTGGCAGAGGGATAGACACATAGACCAATGGAACAGAATAGAGAACTCCAAATAGACCTATACAAATATGCCCAGCTGGCTTCTGACAAAGATGCCAATGCAATTTAACAGAGGAATCCAACCTTTTCAACAATGGCTGCTAGAAAAATTGGACTTCCATAGGCAAAACAAGCAAACAAAAACAAAACAAACAAAAACAAATAAACACCTCACTGTAAATCTCATACCTTATATGAAAATTAACTCAAAATGGATCATAGACTTAACTGTAAAAAGTTAAACTATAAAATTTTTAGGAAAAAATTTGGGAGACCAAGGTCTAGGTTAAGAGATTTAAAGTTGACAACAAAAGCATGATCCATAAAAGGAAAAAATGATAAATCAGCCCTCATCCAAATTATGGATTAATCCTCCATTAAGAGGGTGAAAATACAAGATACAGACTTGGAGAAAATATTTGCAAGCCACATATCCAACAAAGGACTAGTATCTAGAATATATAAAGAACTCTCCAAACTCAACAGAAAAAAAATCCAAGTAGAAAATAGGCATTGCACTAAAGAGGATATATAGATGGCAAATAAGCACATAAAAAGTATTCAACATCAGCCATTAGGGACATGCAAATTAAAACCACAAATAGATATTACACACCTATCAGAATAGTGAAAATAAAAAATAACAACTCCAAATGCTGACGTGGATGCAGAGAAACAGGAAAATTTAGACACTACTAGTGGGAATATAAAATGGTACAGCCACTCTGGAGAATGGTTTGGGAATTTCTTGTAAAACTAAACATGTACTTACCATACAACCGAGAAGTTTCACTCTTGGGAATTTATCTCAGAAAAATGAAAACTATAGAATAGATTAGCAGTTTCAAGGGGTTAGTGTTGGGGAGGGAGTTGAGGGGGGTAAGTGTGGCTATAAAGAGATGGCATGAGGGAGCTTTGTGGCAATGGAACAGTTCTGTATCTTGACCACGATAGTTGTCACACTAATCTACGCATGGGATAAAATTGCATAGAACTACAAACACAGACAAGACTAGTTAATGCTGAATAAGCTCTGTGGGTTGTACCCATCTCAATTTCCTGGTTTTCACATTGTACTATAGTTATGCGAGGTTAATTATCATCGGGGCAACTGGCTAAAGGGTACCTGGGACTTCCCTGTACATTTTTTTGCAACTTCCTCTAAATCTATAATTATTCAAAACAGAAAGTTTTGTTTTGTTTTTTTGCTGAGGAAGACTCGCTCTGAACTAACATCTGCGTCAATCTTCCTCTATTTTGTATGTGGGTTGCCGCCACAGTATGGTTGATGAGTGGTGTAGGTCCACACCAAAGATCGGAACCCCTGAACCCGGGCTGCTTACCTAACCACTAAGCCACAGGGCTGGCCCCAAAAAGTTTTTTTTTTTATAAAGACATTTCAGAATGAGATTTAAAATTGCATGTGAGTCAAAATTTGTGGTTATTTTTCACGTAGACTGACATAATAAGACCATGTTTTTGTTAGATGGTTATATCAACCCATATATCTTATAAGAATAATTTGTCAGATGTAGAACTAACAGTTTATAATACAGAAAAACAGACTGTGTAATTATAGGTACAGCTGAAACATATGTATGTCATTATTTCTACCTGCTGCATTTACTTATACACAATTATGGGTTTTAGTTATCTTCATCCATAATTAACACTGAATAAATATTATTCTCAGTCAGTGGTTTTCTTTTTTTTTCTGTGTGTGTGTGTGTGTGTGTGTGTGTG